TACAAAATACTACAGGCAATTACAAAATGCTGCAACTTTTATTACAAAATGCGTAAGGTATTACAAAATGCGTAGTTATTACAAAATGCCGCAGAACACTTGCCAGTAAGTTTGGCAGATTCTGTATCATTTTCTTTGTATCATACCGTTTGTCGCAAACGGCGCATTAGTTCCACGGTCATTTTAAAAGGTCCTAACTTTTGGTGAAGAATGAAGTGACTGGCACTCCGTCAGTAGCTAATAAAGGTGTCACACTGTGGCTGTGACACGTGTCAAGAAGCACCTGGCGTCGTTTGCATGGTCAACTTTAATCTTCTCCTTTGCCTCCCTTGTCGTTTTTGAGGAGACAAGGGAGGCAAAGGAGAGAGAGCCTGGAATCGAGGTTGTTGCATTAGCATAGCAAAATCTGGCAATTGACAGTAAAGGAGTGGGTAACAGGTGTCACCTATTTTTTATCTGTCAGCAACTGAACATCACAATGCAGGCATGGGGTAAGTGAAATAAACGCTGTTTAAAGTTTAAATATTCCACAGGTACTATAACAGGTGCATAACTTACGATAATTTCAATCTCCTCGTGTAAATTCTTGCATGTCGCTGAANAAAAAAAAAAAAAAAAAAACTGAGAGGGAGCGAGAGATATTATCACGATGTACTAAGTAACCTTGTTACTACTGATGATCCAAACCTGCTCCTTAGACAGTTAAACTGCAAGTTATTTTTTTCTGGTAAGACTTCTGCCTTAAGGAATTTACGGCGCCCACAGGATTCACACGAGATTACTCAGTTAGACTACAGCGAAAACAGCCATGTCACCATATAACTGTTACTAAATTGTTTGTTTGATTTAAGACAACAACACGATGCTGCAACAATTTTCAAAATAACTTTCACTTTACCCTCCATTTCCTTGGTTGTGGATGTATTACCTGCTGTTAAACTTTTCAGGGTTCTTTTCTCTTTGTAAGTGAAACTTGAGTGCCACAGACGCATCCTGAAAGAGACAAACAAACAATCAGAAAATAACTGGAAAGGGTGTAATGTAACACGAGAGATCTGAGATTCTATTAACTCCCTTCAGCTAAAACAAATAAGCAGCTCTGGGATCAGGAATTGATGTTATAACCAAGTCTAAATGAAAACCTTTGTCACAAGACAAGCCTCATAATGTAATGCGTGAACCTAAATCTGTTACAAGTACAACTATCTTACGGATGCCAAAAAAACTCATCACATCACGAATTTCATTATGTATCACCATACAACATGCTCTTGACATTACTGATACAAGACGTATACAGCACAGGAGGAAACAGCCTTCCTTCCTCCCTTCCCACCCGAGAGGTCACGGGTTGAATGCCCTCAGATTTTGCCCATCTTACACTCATGACGTGGTGAACATTACATCCTTTTAATTTCACTACCAAACTTATACTTAACCATTAAATTTCGAAAGAATTCTTAAATATCACTCCCTCGTGGTGTAAATACTTAACTGCACTCACATTCAAACGACTTTCAGTGGATATTACCTCATGTAAAACCAACACAGTTACACTTAAGAGCAGTTTTTGATTGAGTGTTGTAAAACCAAAACCAAACCAGTTACTTAACAATTAGACAACTCAGCCAATCGCAAACCGTAGTAAAACCAAAACCAAAGTAGTTGCCTGGTTACTTTTGACACTCAATTGAAAATTGCTCCCACTACAAGTCTGTTCTTAAGACAAAACCAACCACTCCGATGGAAAAGTAGTTGTTAATGATATCAAGAGGGGGTGGGTCTCCCATGTCCTCTCGGTTGGTTTGCTTGAATGACACTGACCACCTGGAGTAGAACACAAAAGCAAGTGTAAGAATTTACATTTATAACACTGCACTTATACTTGCAACAGATAGGTCAAAAGCAGTTTGGAACAACCATTCTATGGCCTGCCTACTAGCGCAAGACAATCTACAACAAAGCAGTGACATAATAACTAACGACAGAACAAATGTCCGGTTCCATCAGTGAAGCTCAAGACTGTAGTGAATCAATTACAGCTCTGGGAAATGTCAAACGCGAGAAAAATTGCGCCGCAAGACTACCTCACGTTTTGCAGCTGATTGGCAAGTTCTAAGACAACTACACTACAATATGATGCATGCAGACAAACCCGACATCTGGTGGTAATCTACTTTCTCTCAGTGGAATTCAACTGACAAAAGAGATACTAGCTTGCATCTGGACTCTACGACACCTTAAAGATTTTTATGATTTGTGTTGTAGTCTACCTTCAATCTTATTCGTAGCAGAGTAGGTCTACACAAAAGCAAAACTTCAGAAAAGGCAATTTCCGAGTTGTCTTTTGCCCCTTTATTCAAACGAGAACTGGTGCAAAATCTTCCGAAAGAAAATGACTTTAGTGATATATTTATTTGAAAGTTTCCACACCAGCCATTATTTTGAACCAGTTAGAGAAGGCAAGTTGGAAATGAACTCTGAATCTAACCACAGGCCACAGCTATGAGCTGAAAACTAAGAACAATTTTTCACCGCACGTTAAATTGTGTGAATATATACCTGTCAAGACTTACAACCGTGCTCTTTTGAATCAGACTCAACACTTTGGAAATACTTCCACCTTCATAACCTGAAACGAGACGTACAACACAACACAGTGATCTTCAAAGGAAATAATTAACAATGTCATTGGTAGTTGTATCTAGGCATAGCAATCTATTCAGTGCAGGATGACATCTCATTTCATTTTATGAGGCCACAGTAACTTACAAAACCTTCCGTAGTTTTCACAAACATTTCTGTCCGTGGCAATTCTTCTTTGCCTTTAAAATACTGCACTTCAACTTCATTCCCCGATTTGGACATGCCACAAGTCCGCCTTCACTTAATTCTTTGCTAAATCATCGCCCTCGAGTGAAACAAGAGGGCGATGTTTGAGTGACGAAGTCGCGAGACAATCAGGGCAAGAAGTATTATTGGAAGTCTAACTCTAAGAAAGTCTAACCCTAATACGAGATTCAGGAAAAACGTTTTCATCTAAAATTCAGAAGTGGACCCACCACGCTTGTGAGAATAATTTCCTATTACACACAAAGTAGTTACAGCACTGTAACAACTCTGCTAAGTACAACTATCAGGTAAAAGAGAGTGCTATGCTCCATAACTTGTGGTTAGTAATTACCTCCTCCCCATTTTAAACACCTTGCCAAGTCATTTCCGGTTCCTGTGGACGAATAAAATAACGATGACAAATTTAGTGTCTTGGAATAAAAGGATGTGTATAAGTCTTTTCAAAGGAATAAAAGACAGTTTTTTGAGAGAGAATCCTTAAAAAATCTGTTTAAATTTTGCTATTACTCACCAAGAGGTAAAACAGCTACTGGGGGTGGTTTCTTCATCTGTAATTTATCTATCAACAGATAAAAATGACAAGACAACAATCCTTAGTCAATGACCTTCTCATTTCTTCAGTAACGGTAGGAGACATTACATGTTTACAAAAAGAGATGTAAGAACCACAAATAAGACATGGTGACATATTGGTAGAAGAAGGTTGACTGAGTGAACATCGAAAGTTGAGATAAACCAATATCTTATAAATCTAACACCATTCAGATACCTTTTAAATCGACATAGGACAAAAAACTTTTCCCCCTTTCCTCTGTCCCGAGTGCATTTTTATTACCATCCAGAAAATCGTTGATTAGGGATAGGAGTTTCATGAACAAGCTACTGGTGCTATCGACAGTCAAAATGGCAAAACATAGTCACATTCTCAAACGTTTTGTCCAAGATTTGTAGGTCTGCAGATAAACTCCATCTGAACCCACCTATAGTGGCTAGTACCCAGCCTACTGTTCCATCACCGCCACAGCAAAGAACACGGAAATCTGGAACACTCTGGAAAAACTTCAGACTGAAACACAAAACAGCAATTAAACAGGGTTGAGTAAAAATGGCATACTGAAAGGAATTTATCACAACAGAAAAAAAAAAAGAAAAAAAAAAGTCCGTTACATACCCAGGGGTTGGTCCACCTTCCCCAAGATTGAAGACTTGTCTTGGATTGAGTAAGTACTGGAACTTGTGTAGTAATCTGTTTATTGAGAAGAAGAAAAAAAGAGCAAAGAAAAAGAACAACTTACGGTAGGAAAGACTTCAGCCGGCGTCAAGTGCACAAAAACGTGTGCGAGCAGGTCACGATTGGTTTTGATTTTACTTTTGATTGGATGAAAACTGGCACGATTTTTTTTTAAACCTGTCGTGCCGAGTAGTAATGCCAACCACTTTTGACAGTGAAATGAAAACATTTCGGGAAGAAATTCTACAACCATACCTTGCACCTTGTCTGCCACCACTTTTAGGGTTAATAAAAACTGCTAAGGGATGCGTGCCACGAAGAGGTGAGATCTGTCAAGAAAACTTTGTTGTAAGTTCCACTGCCTTCATCAGACATTTACATGTATATGAACCTGCCATTTAATGTAAGTATTGGGATGTACTGAAATCTTTTTTGTGCTACGTTACAAAGCATACGTACTTGTAATGTTCGTAAGTAGTGTAATGAATGAAAAAAAACAACAAAACAAAACAAAGACAAACAAACAGCCCCCCCCCCCCCACCCCTGCCATTTATTAGAGGAAAACAATAAAATGTCAAAGGCTTGGTCTCCCCAATGTTTATTGGAGTGGCATATAGATAAGCCTGTATACAAGCTCTTTATAAAATCCACCTTCTCATGGTTAGTGCACTTGACTCGGGAGCAAGCGGTCCGGGTTTGAGCCCTGGTCGGGGACACTGTGTTGTGTTCTTTGGCAAGACACTTAACTCTCACAGTGCCTCTCTCCACCCAGGAGTATAAATGGGTACCCGCAAATTGTTGGGGATACCTAACAAACTGCGGAGGAACCTGCGATGGACTAGCATCCTGTCCAGGGGGAGTAGAAATACTCCTAGCCACTTCATGCTACAGAAACCGGGATGAGCTCTGGCAGCTATGAGCCAGCCGGCTCCAATGCTTCACTTTTTTTCCTGATTAATTGGACACAGTTACATGCACGAGCATATCTGAGGTCCGGGTACTGCACATGCCAACTCCACGTACATTGTCCTCTGGGCTCTTGGCATGATGTTCTGGTTAAGATTCGGCTCCAGCACCACTCTGACAGTGAATTGTCAGTGAATATGTCGACTTTGGAGAACATTGATATTGTTAGAAGATAAGCAAGTCCCCAAGAGTAGATACAGATGTGCGTTACTATTATTTACCTTTTGCATTTTGTAACATATACCTTGTGTAAATTTATCTGACCTGCATTGGCATTCCCTCAAAGTTGACATAAGAGTTTGTCCTTTTCCTATGAGCCTCTGGAGTGGAGTTGTCTTTTCTCCTGTCCTGTTAAATTTAAAAGTCATAAACAGTTTATCACATATTACCAGGGCTGCAAATAAATTCTTTTGAAAGGACATATGCCCTACTAAGACACCAACTTGATTGGACAAAACAATTTGTGGTCGGACATCATCAAATAAAGGTAAGATTTACTCAAGGTAGATCTTTATTCATCCTTACCGTAAAATGATTTATGATTAAAAAATTGTCCGGACATCATGCCTGACCACAGTTAGGATTTCATCAGACAAAAACAAATTTTGGTCGGCCAATGTCTGATGACCAACTGTTATTTGCAGTCCTGTATTACCCATGGATATATTANGAGATACTACAGTACATAAGTTACTATAAACATTTCTTAGCACCTCAGTGCAAGACATTTTGTGTGACTATTGAACAGTGAAGTGCACACAGTTTTCTCAAAAATTCCCTGAGTCAAAAGGCAAGCTGGAGGAACTGAATTACTCTCTTAGTTCTTACAGAATTCAAAAGGCGAGTAAACTTTGCATCATACAAGCTACTCGTTTACCTTTCTTAGTTTCATTCTTTTTGACACAAACACTGCTTTCAGAAAAATCTATATAACATGGTCAAATGAAGCTACACCTTATTAATTAAAAAAGGAAATGGGAATTACAGGATTTGCATTATAACGTACCAGACCACCAGCAGGCGATATGGACACTGGAGGTAGAATGTGATCTCTGTGCTCTCCAAGGTTACACTCTGGGACAACATGAGTTGCACATTTGTTATGAACCTAAAATTTCAAAGAAAAAAAAATTAAAATCAAAACAAAACTCCAGATTAACTAATCTGGTTCAAGTTCAGAATAGGAATAATTTTTACTGTTTTCATACAATCAGAGATTCCACCTGTGCCAACAAAACATTTACGAGAAGATAAATGTAGGGGTTTCTTTTTGCATAACCTAACTACGTGTATATGAAATCAATATAAATATTACAAGATCAACAGCAACAAAAAAAAAAGTGTTAATCGTTGAATGTTCGTGTGGTCGATGCTCTTAGCTACAACTAGCTAGTTTTCAGGCATGCCACCTAAACTGAAAAAAACAAATATTGCAAATAAACATAACAGGCTTAAAATCCTAACTGGCGGGAGGCAGACCAGTTGGCTATTTACAAGCATGACCAAGGAGTTGAACTGGGGTCTACCAAGAAACAACTCCAGCTTAGTGGTCAGAGCGGGACTTGAACCCGCAACCTCTGGATTTTAAGTGCAGTACCCTAACCACTCAGCCATACAACAAGAACAAAACAGACACAGACAATGTTATGAACTCACTGTGACTTGACACCAAGCACAATGTAATCCAGTCAGACAGTTGTTACTCTTGACAGTTTTACCACACTTGAAACACTTTCCTGGACAGTTCCCTTCCGTCCAGTGATGATCCATGTTCTGCGGAATTACAACCAAATAGTTTACACTGAAATGAGCACAAAACATTTTGCTCACAAGCAAACAATTTTTCTGATAGTGCAGGTTTGAAATCATCTTTCTAAAACTTAATGATAATTCATCACATTTAAACCAAGGAAATCATGACGGTGATGGTGTTTGGGTTTCTGATATTAATTTGCACAGATTTTTTACGCTTTTATTTCACCACGTACTCTTGAGTTTTAGATTCAATTAAGAAGATATACCAAACACTCGAGCTAGTATTTAAACATATTTTCAATCACCTCAAAGTTCATGAAAAATACTCTGCTATGTGTCATATTTCCAACTCTCTTGTCAGTGTTTCGAAATGTGGTCAAACATGGTCTTTAATGTTTGACATATTGCATCTCAACTGAGAGCTCTAGCTTATGTATGGGGAAAAAGGTCAGAGAAGAGTTTTGAAGGTACAAACCACTGATACAATATGACTTAGAATCAAAAGGATATTGTAACTTTTTTCCATTGGATGTGCTAATCCATGGTTGGCATGGTTTTCTCACAATGTTTGCATAGCATGATCATCTAGGTTAGAGAGGTCTTTGAAAGGACTGTTGCCAGTGACTGACAATTTGACCACACGTCATTTTCAGAGACAAGATGACTTGCTCTCAGGTAGTCAAAATACCACTCGCCAACAAAAGCCTTTTCAGAATTACATTCACTCAGACAACCACATTAAGCTAGTCAAAGATAATCTTGGATTCTAACTACTTAATAACCAAGAGTGAGGTCGTTAAGGGAAAATCTCAAACTAGCGAGGTCAGTACAGTAGGCCAAGGTTTGAGATTTTCCTGTAATGACCACACGGTCGAGGTTATTAAGTTGTTTATTATATGGTTCATGAATAAAGAAGAAAATATCATTTGAGCGAGAGTCATCAAATTACATCCGGCCATGTGCATGATTCATCACCTCAAACCAAGGGCAAAACTACACAGTCAATGAACTTCACCACTGTATTACATATTCCGTTAAAAACACTCATTTCTTTACGGGAAAAGTGACTGTCACATCCTCAAAAAGCTATTTTAGTATCGTGGTACCAAAAGTTGATGGGGGAGTTTTTCCGACTTTTGTGGTGAAACGTCAACGGATATAGAAAAGACAGAAAGTGCTTCAAAATTGTCCAAACCAATGGTCTTTCGGTGAAAGAAAATACTAATGCTTCAGAATACACTGCTCAAAATAAGCTTAACTCGATCTTCGCATTCACTTTCGACAATGTGTCTTCGCCTTCTTCATTCTGGGATTTATGAATGAACTTTTCAAGCCTTGTGAACGACTGCAGTTATCAGAAACACTGCTACTGACAGAAACTGTCCGATTGTTTACATCTGATGATCCTAGAAGCTGATTTACACTTGCTTGTGTTAAAGTGAGGGAATCTATTTGATGAGAACTTTGACGGAGTTCAATACTTCGGTAATTGTGTGACTAAGATGATAACTTATAAGTTTCTTCGTGGTGTTCTGCTCAGGATGCATGACAGATCTGCTGATGGTGTTTTTCACTTCGCGATTTTAGCTTTACTTAAGACTCGGCAAACTTTGATTGTTTTTCACTAGTGCCCGTCAAGGTTACCGGCTGATAAGTCACCTATATAAATTTTATTAAGGAAATATCTCTAAACTTTTAGCTACTTACATTCTCTTACTGATTTTAAGCGGCTTTCATCGCTTCAATGCGCTTGAATTTTCAGAGCCGGGCTCTTCCTAATTTGCCAGTTTTAAAGCTTATGAAGCAAGAAATGAAATGCACCCAAAACTTACCATTTTACCACTCCTTCTGGATGACTTGACATAAGTGTTGATACAAGAAGCTGGTGCTCTTTGAACACATCGCTCATGTACTGTGTACTTGCAAACTACATAA